AGATCTTCAGTCTAACGCTCTCCCAACTGAGCTATTTCGGCACATATACAACAGGGGCTCGAGGCACAAGTGGTCTATTTCCAAGTGATTATCTATTCTCTATTAATTGAATCAACCTATTTATAAAACAAATATACCATCGAGTTCAGCTTATCAGAAATGTTGAAAATGTGATTCGCAATCAATCCAATTGTTGCCGTATAAGTGCATGCCAAATCTAGTCCTAATGAATGTTTTCTAGCAGATAAACGCATAGAAGTGCGAAAAGTGAGTTGTAATCAGCATTAACAAGCTATCGCGTATCAAGTTTATTTCATCCATTATGCATGCATTCAATTATCATATTTTTTTGAATCTAAGTCAGCAGTGATTAACATGTAGAAGGTCCACATTTTTCACACTACTATACTGCATTGAACATATTGTATTACACTAAAGTTGATTCCTTTTCGTTTAATTTCATTTATTTCCAAATAGAACACATATATCCATGTCGCAAATCGTAGAATGTAAACCAGTTAGTTGCAAGTCATTTGAATCAAATTACATTTAAATGATTCAATTAATCACTCGATGCTGAAATGCATATGAACGTCGAAATGAACGTAGGCGAACGTTCAGTCGCGATGATGCTTTGACGTACAAGTACACTTGGGCACTGAACGTTTTTCAACGATACAGTACGCAGCCATTCTGTCAAAAACGTTTGACATCATTTTGACAGACAAACAATCGCATAAATAAACGCAGTGTTTTAATAAAATTCCTATGAAATCCTTGGAATAAATCCCATTTTGTTTTTTAAATTTTCCGATAATTTTGCTATTGGCATCGTGAGAGATGGCTAATGATCGTGAAGTATTGCGAATCATATGGGAGGGACAGATTCCAATTTGTTTTCAAGCCGATTTAGACGAAGCGAACGCTGTTCGGCAACCTGAAAACTTTTATTTGATGGTCTCGAGATTGAGCTACTTACCATTGGTTACAGACAAAGTAATTATATCAAACAATATTAGAACTTAGAATTCACGTGATAATTTGTTTCGCTTGTTCGATTGCACAGGTTAAAAAGCATTTCAGCAGATTTGTTTCAAATGAGGCACAAGAGGGCGAGGTTTGGTTCGATTCCAATGGACTTCCGCTGAAATGGCACTATCCAATCGGTATGTAGCAACGTCAAAATAATTGATAAGTATTTGAATTGATTAGTACCGTTTTATGCATGCTTTTAGGTGTTCTATACGAATTGACGAAATTGACGGAATTACCGTGGTGCATTACAATTCACTTTAGCAAGTTTCCCGAAGAGATTCTATTCCGATGCCCAAACAGGTACAGTTTTACATGATCAAAAAACGAAAATAGTTCAAATTATGTAATGATGATGATTGTTCGTTACGTTCCAGAGAAATCGTTGAATCACATTTCATGTCATGCCTCAAAGAGGCGGACGTCTTGAAACATCGTGGTCAAGTGGTGTCACGAATGCAGAAAAAGGATCACAATCAGCTTTGGCTCGGTCTAGTCAACGATAAATTCGATCAATTCTGGTCGGTTAATCGACGTTTAATGGAACCAACTAGCGAAGATGGCTTCAAATACATTCCGATCAGGTGCTACAAAGAGGTGGGTCTGGTCAAATGCCAATTTATTTGTCCTTTTTTGTCGATTTTCAGAGATCCCTTTTTTGAGATCTGAAAATATCATGAAACAAAAATTATCGCTATAACACCTGCGCCTGAATGCAAATGAAACAGTTGAAAAAATATGCAAAGTGACAATTGTTTTCGAAACAGACCCATCAAAATAATCCGATCTGAAGCTTTGCTCCTTTAATCTCGGCAGAACATTTTCGCTGCGGCTGTTGTTGTTGTATGACATAACACTTTACCCATAAGCCAAGCCAAGCCAATTAAGAAGACAAATGAGAAAATTACCTAACTCACGGGAATGCATACAATGTGTAGCATTTTGTTGGCATTCGCATCAAAGGATGCCGTGTGGTGCATATGAAAAGCGAAGTGAATTTAAAAATAAAATGAAACGGTAAATTATTTCGATTAATTTTCATGTGAAACCGCGACCACACGCCATTTCATGGGGACCGATGCAGACCGCCTATAAATAAAACAAACACTTCGTTGTTTGTCGTTCTGTCTCTGTTTTTTTATTCGTTGTTCAGTAGAACGCTTGGCGCTTGAAAATAACACATGTGTCATTCGGCGCGCAGATTGAAAACAACAACTGATGAAAAATTATCAATGATGAAACCGGTAAAAAATGAAATAACGATTCTCGCAATGTTTTCGTTGTGGATGCGATGACGTAGGTGATGTAGCATAGATAAAAATGAACAGAAGAAACAAAAAAATAAATAATTGTCACATCGGAAATATTTTTAAAATACAATCCTGACCTCCGGATAGCGAAAATATTTTTGGCACGTTTTAATCGTTTTAATGATAACAGTACCAGCAACAGCTCATACATATGTTTTTTTTTGCTTCATTTTTTGTGTGTGATAGGATGGAACGTACGTCCAGAAATTGGTACCGCCCAACAGTGACAATGGATTCAAACGCACCGTACAACATTTACTCGAAGATTTTTCGACGTCTGCATCAAAAGCAGGTAAGTTCATCATTTTATATCGTATACAAAAAACCTTGTGTGTGTTTTCAATGTGATTGAATGAAAAAGTGTGTGCTTAATCTACAATCGCACAACTACGGACGGAAGATTATTTTAAAATTAATTTATTTTTACCCATTTTTTCAAATACAATTAATAACAATAACACATCTCACAAAGAAACTGAATGCGTGTAATTTTGAAAAATGTTTCCCTGACAGCCGGAATACACACACAAAAAAGTAGAAGAGAAAAACTTTTTTCGAAGTGAATGTGTTAAGCGCGAATGTGAACTCGATGAACATAAATGAACTTCGGTCGATTTTAACTAACTATACATGGCTTTTGCATTTTACAGCAATCGTCGATTGTTGGCCCGTATATGGTCAAAAAATTTATTTTTTTCTTTTCATTCTTTCTTCTGTCGATGGAAATGCAGAAAAGTCTTTCACATGATTTTTCTAACAATGCCGAGAATAAGAAATGATTTAAGCCATTCCATTAAAGTGCTGCATATTTTCTCTGAATTTGATCGAATGGTAAAACATTTATTTCCAGAGGGAAAAAAAATGCCATAGGTCATACGGAGAGTGAGAAAAAAAGCAACGCGATTAATTCCAAAGCAGAAACAGTGGTTAAGAAGCCGGTGCTTGGGTAGAGAGTAAGTGACTGAAGAAAAAACGCGTGTTTTTGTTTCTATCAGTCGTAGCTCTAGTCTTTTCCTCTTTAGGTTGTATTTTTCTTCTTCTGTCGATCCGATGCGCGCGCGCACACATTTGTGCGTGCCTCTTTCTCAAAAACGTTTTCTCTTCTTCTGTTTTTAATTTATCTTTTTGTTTGTCAAATGGAATTCATGTGATTTTCGTCTCTTTCGCTCGTTTCACCACAAACAACGCCATGGATGCACTCGCAAAATATTATCGCATTGTATTCGAGTTCCCTTATATAGACCTGTTTTTTAGCACTACATGAAATGTAGAGCTACTAATCTGCTTTTTTTTTTCTTAATACTTTTTGAGTGACGAAACAAATTATGGTGAATTTGAATTTTATGCTCATATTTTTTATTTAATTTAAAACAGGTGCACTAAAGACAAATAAGTGCACAATATCTCGAAGCACCAATCAAATTTTTATTATCAAATGTTGTTTAAAAATTACATTAATTTTTCGTATAATATTTTCTGAGTCTTGGACAGAATTGAAGTGATTTTAGATTCTATGCTCATATTATTTATTTAATTTAAACCAAAGGCAGTTTATTTCAAAAAAGAAATAAAACCAAGATCTTGTAATTCATTTTTGAAATAACTGAGAATTTTTTTCTGTAGTTTGTTGCAAAGTTACTTTGATGAAATATATTTCATGTAGTGCGCCAAAAAATACTTTGTTGTGAAACAACAAAATAGATTAAGTAACTAAAAACTCAAGAACGCAGAGCGGAGCGAAACGAAGCTCTGCGGTCTTGTTTTTCTTCTCTTGTTTGTTGTTTTATTGCCTTACGTTGATCCTCTTGTTGTTGATTTTGTTTTCCTCCTTTTTTCCATCATTTCATTTTGTTCCTCGACAAAGTCCGAGGCAAAGGAAAAAATAAAATATGTATATAAACGTTTCATGTTTGCATTTGTTCAGTTCATAAGACTGGTGTAAAATGGCCAAAAACTCAACAAGATGCACACCAAAATCGAGAATAAATAAATTTGTATGCGCTTGCGCCGTTCTCACTTGCGACCGGCCGAAGTAAGAAAACGTACGAAAAGCGAAGATAAGAGAAGAAATACACCAAAATAAAATCGAAACGATAAAATAAAATAAGAGACGAGAGAGAAAAAGAGCAGAAAAAACACATATCGAAAATCACTCTGTGAATGCAAACAAAATACGCACGAGAGAAGAGACACAGAGTGCGGAGAGAGAGAGCGAGTGAAAAAAATAGACAATCAACACAACACCAAATTGGGAAAGGAAAACAAAGGTGAATACGATGAAGCAAAGAGAGGTGTGAACATTTTATTAGCATTATCCGGAGCAGCGCAAACAAATCCATTCTGTTCCATTCTTGGGCATGATACTGATTTGCCGGATTTTTTTCTCACTCTCTCTCTCTCTCTCTCTCTCTCTCTCTCTCAACTCTCTTCTCCCGTTTTTCGTTGTTTGGACCATTCAAAGAAAGGAAAAAAAGCGCGATTCTCTGTTTATTATCATCGACGATTTTTCAGTCTGAATAAAACGATTTCTTCCCTTGTATACGTATGGATGCGTGTGTATGTTTTCGATGGCGTGCACATTGCAAACATGCGCACTTGCGACCGACATCGTGAACTTTCAGCATCATCGCGCGCCAAAATTTACACATGTGACGCTCGGGCTTCTTTTTTCTAAGAACGAATTCTTCTCATTAGATTATTATCCGAACAACAAGTTACAAGAATTTTGGCTGGAACGGTACGCCCCTGAGATCGCTCACGTTTGCACACCTCACGATCGAATTAGCATCTCGACATACATATATTATTGCTATTCATTTCATATGAGACTCTTTGAATTGTTCGCGCTCATGTATGCTAAAAGCGAGGAGTAAATGCTTTTCTCTCAGAAAACACACATTTTAATCATTTTCTGTTCAATTTCTTTGTTTTTCCACCCGAAACAATTTTTTTCCCATCTTCCAAATATTGTTTGTTTTCGTTTGATAATTTTAAATTCACGCGCGTCTCAATTCATTTCGTGATAAATAATGTAGTGAATTTTTTTTAACGAATTTCATGATGTTGATGGGTGCACTAAAGATGGTTTTTGCAACAGGACGGTGCGCGAAAGCACCAACAGTAACACATAAATGTATTGTTTTTGGATGGTTCCACGAAATTGGCGCGTGTTTTTCGCAAAGACATCAGAAAATTTGCATTTTGTTGTTTAAATATTTGACGTAGGCAAGCAAACATATGACGGTTTGGCGCTCGGTGAATGCGAATGAAACGCTTGTCGCTAAGACAAAGCACGAGAAACACAAAAAATGAAACTGTCACGAGATCTTGTCATGCTCTATTGACATTATTGGTATCGACAATCATTAGATAAATGTACTCAGTTAATATCAGGCACATGTGTGAGTGTATAATTTTATTTAAAAAAATTCATAGACTCCATAGCATTTCCAAGCGTAGTTTTTTTTTCCTCGCAGAACCGATCGATCGACATTTGGAAGAGAAAACAGTTGTTTTGCCAATATATCGAGAGTTTTATTCCAAAAAATATTTATCATTTTCTAAGAAAGCGACACTTCAGTTTCAAATCAGCCGTCGTTACGTTCTAATTTATAGCTTCGAATTTGTGTTGGTATTGAAAATGTGTTTGAAGTGCACTTGCAAATTATTAAGTTGATAATGTTGAAATGCCAGTAAATTAATGATAACTCATGTATTCATTAGCAATAGCAAAAACAACATTGACAGCAAGCATACAAAAAAGGAGCAAGTGTCTGGCAGAGTGTACAAACCGACATGGCATTCTGATAGGAGCACACACTCACTCATCATTAGAAAGAACAAAAAAAAATATGCTTGAAATTCTTGACTACATACGAGAAGCAAACGTACGAAACGGAACGTTATTGATGATGACGATGATGAAATATACGAGGCTGCGGCGGTGGTGGCAGCGGCCGTAGATCCAAATTAAGAAAATAATAATAACATGTCGTGTGTTGCAAAGAACCACGTACACATGACCAAATAGAGTGCAAGCGATCGAGTGAGCCAGCGTTCGCGCGCAATACCGTCAGTCCTATGAATTGGCTGTATAAAAAAAGATAAAGAAAATGAGAAATCAACTGGAACATTTATGGAAAAGAACATTTAATAAATATGGGAAACGCAGTATGAAAACGTTGTGTTATCTGAGTGTATTTTGTGTTGTGCTCAACAACAACAGCAACAGTCAATTTCAGTGACTATGCGCTGGAGTCACAAAGTCTGGCATTGCAGTTTTCCATCCATTCAACGTTTTGTGTGAGCATGTGCGCGCACACACAAAATGGAAAAGCAACTAAAACCTGAACGAACGATCGAACGACACGCGAAGAAAAAAAGAACAAACTCTGGAGCGAAACAGCAACAACGAGAATGGCAGCAAAACAATGTGCGCGCCAGCACAGCAAAACGGCAACGAGAGGCAAGAAGAGGAACAAGGAATGATGCATTTTATATGTTGCAACTGAAATGTATGGATCGAGTGTGTGTGTATGCTACAGCAGCAGCAGCGACAGCACCTCACCAAAACAGATAAAAACGCATTTCGCATTTACAGTGTGCAGGCCCATTAACTTCTGGCCATTAAATGCAACGCACATATTTTATGTGTAAATTCAATCAGTGTGTAGCTTTTGTTGTTGTTACTGTTGCTGGTTTTCTTTAAATTCAGTTCAGGCCTGGCTCATGTTCACTCACACCAAACGATGTGAATCGAATGCGAACTCGTTTGTACTATTTGATTCTTTGAAAGCCCCACAACCAGAAGAAAAAAGAAAAAAAGAAACTGTAAAAACGGATCGGATTTCTCTGTTGCTTCTCTCGCCACCGAGCAATGCCAGTTTGTGTTTATTGTTTAACGTTGCTCGGCTTGTTCTCACTCGATATTTCTGTCTCTGTCTCTTCCTTTCTCGGCGATTGTGTTCTAAACGAAAACCGTAGACATTGTGTCACTGCTGCAGCGCAGCAACAACGGCCGCATTGCAATGCACTTTGGTTTCGGTTTCTCTTTCTGTCTCGTTGCATCAATGAAATTTCGCCTCGCGCATTTATATATTCGCAGTGTGTGATAATCTGGTGTCCGCGCGATGTGCTCTCTGCCATCTCGTGTGTTGTTTATGTTCAACTTGCAGTGCATTGAGCACATGCACTTTTAATAATTCCCGATGCATTTTACTCCATAAGTTTTTCGTTTGCATTTGATTTTCTCGTCGATTCTTTCGTCATTATTCTTATCGTCTGTTCTGTTCT